AAAGAAAGAAAGAAAGAAAGAAAGAAAGAAAGAAAGAAAGAAAGAAAGGCTTCTCAATGCAAGAATCAGCTGCCGGATCATTCCGAAACTGGGCATTTGCCAGCCCTGCATTTTTGCATATTTTGGAGGATGGGCAGAGGGCAAAGCGCATCCTTAATAATAATCTCTGATCTCAAAGAGCAGTGGCCCCTCTGTATACCACTGATCTTCCTCACTGGGAGGACTTGCAGTGCTGGTCTGGGATGAATCTCACTGCTAGTTGTAATCAAAGAAAAAAGAGATCTACCTGGGATCTCCCCTTTCCCTCTCTCACAGTTAGAAAGAAGGCCAGCAACATGTAAGATAAATCCTATATGGGCTGTGTAGGTTGCAAAGGAAGAGAGCTTTTCCTCTCCCTCTTCCCACTTGGTGGGCCAGCTGACTTCCAAGGACAAGAGGTTCCTCTCTCTTTAGTTACATGACTTCAATGGAGTCTCAGTGCTTCAATGGAGCATTACTAGCCTTTGGCGAAGAACAGATCACACCGACTCTGAGTGACTCAGATAATAATTGGACTGGAACCAGTATTAATCTGTAGACAGCTTGAACAAGTTACTTTTTTTGAGTTCAGGTCCCAGAATCCCCCAGCCACGGCCATGCTGGGTGTGGACTGTGGGAGTTTTAGTCTGAATCGAAATTTTCCAAGGACTGAAACTCTGTTCTACTTACTCAGAGACCCAGTAGTGTATCTGACATGGTTGGTCCTCTTGTCTTCATTTCTCTTTGTGGTTCACTTAAAAAAACCCACCACCAACAACAAAACACTACTCAGCTCTTTCTTGGGATGTCCAGGTTGCATCTGTATCCAGGTTGGTTTTTAATCAACTGAGGTTCATTGCCCAGCTCTGCCCCTAACTGGATGAGGGATATCAGTGGATGTGTTGGTGATCTCCATGATCAACTACTGCAGTGCTCTCCACGTGGGGCTTCCTTTGAGATTGGAAACTGCAATGGGTCCAGAATGTGGCTGTCAGGTTGGTGGCAAGTGTGAACAGATTTTATTGCATCTCTTAGTCCTGGCTCACTTGCACTGGCTTCTGGTTGCATCCTGCACCAAGTTCAAGGTACTGAAAGTTGACTTATAAAGCCCTCCACAGATTTGGACCACATTGCATGCCAGGGTGTCTCTCCCCAAGGACATTTTCCTGCATCACTAGACCATCGCTGGCTATGCTTCTCCGGGTGGCCATGCTGAAGGAGGCTAGAAAATTGTCCATAAGAAATGGGGCCTTCTCAGCGGTGGCCCCTTCCTTGTGGAATCACTTCCCAGTGGAGCTACACTTGGCTCCCTCCCTTCCTAGTTTTAAGAGGCTCCTGAAGACACCTCTCTTTTGGGAAGCCTTCAATGGCAACCTCTTGTGAATGCTCTGCCACTCACGCCAGGTTCAGGTGCTGTTATTGATGTTATGTTTGACATTTTTAGTGAATGCTGTTTTCATATAAACTGCCCAGAATAGCGCTGCGCACTAATGGGGCGGTATATAAGAGACAGAAATAAATAATACATAAATACTGATTAAGTGACCATCCTGCATGGGGTAGAGTGTTTTATGGGCCCTCAAAAGTTTATACCATGATACCTTTCTTGGTGGTTGGGGGGGGGCAAGCAGGATCCTCCAATGAGCAAAGTCTTGAGCTCTCCAGAACTTTTTGTCAAAAACAGTATTAAGCATAATAAGAGCAGAGGGAAGCTGGCTTGATGCTGCAGTGTGTGCTGGTAACAGGTTTAAGATGTTGAAGAGATAGCAGGCCTAACTACTGTAGTTTGGGTTCTCCTGTTCGATTTTGTATCTTCAGTTATTGTAGCTGTTTCTTTGCCCTGCGTAGCAGCCATACCTTGGAGCCATCATAGCATCTAGAAGAGCCTCCAGGATAAGGAAATGGGTAGTATCTAGATTATAGGTTCTTAATCTGTGTCTGTGGTCCTCAGACCTCGGGAGGCCACAATGTCCTCACAGGGGATCTGCGAAGGCTTGAAGAAAGGTTATGATCTTTTGCAGTTAAAATAGAAAGAAAGAAAGAAAGAAAGAAAGAAAGAAAGAAAGAAAGAAAGAAAGAAAGAAAGAAAGAAAGAAAGAAAGAAAGAAAGAAAGAAAGAAAGAAAGAAAGAAAAGGAAATGTAGAACAAAATCTTAGTTTACCTTGCTTGCTTTTTTGTGTAAAACTTAGCTTTTCTAACCTACCACCCCCATTAAATTTAAAACAAACAAAACTAAAAATCAATCATGAAAATAACTGCTTGATATTTTAACCCATGATGACAACATGCAAGTGAATGATGGTAAGTGGCTGAAAGACCGCATGTGACATTTCTTGCTACTGCGAAGACAGGCATAAGCCACTGGAAGAGAGAGACAGAGTCAGGGTCAGTCTGCTACTGCACAGACAGGCATAAGCCGCTGGAAGAGAGAGACAGAGTCAGGGTCAGTGTGAGTGAGTGTCCATTTGATGGACTTTGTGATCATTTTTCTTCTTGGATTTCTGCTGATAAAATCATTTGGTTATTGTCAGATAAAGTGACTTTTGATATTATTGCAGTGAATTTCATAGCAATACCTTTTGGCTGTGCCTCAGAATGGACCGCTGGCTGAGTGTGAAAAGTAAAAGAACTGATGCTGATGAAGAGGGTGCATCCTGTTCAAAGCAAAATGAAGCTTCTTCCAGCCATCTTAAAAAGTAGAATTTTCTTATGTGCTTTGCAGGCCTTATCTCAGCAATGCTTACAACAACCCTATAAATTAGGAAATTGTTATTATCCTCATAGTTCAGACTCCTGAGAGAGAATGGCTTGTCTTTGGGCAGCAATGAGATCACTGGAGAAATGAGGTTTGAATTGGATGTTTACCTTTTACATCTCTCTCTCTCTCTCTCTTGCTCAAGAACCAGTATGCTACAACATACTCACTGATAATTTTCCTCCCATGCCTACTGCTGATTACCCAAGATTTCTGTTCAAGCAATGGGCTATAAATCCTTAAAAATTCATTCATTCATTCATTCATTCATTCATTTATTCATTCATTCATTCATTCATTCATTCATTCATTCATCCCTT